AAAATCCCTTTTCTTGATGTTGAGCTTACAAGGAGAGATGACGGAACTTTAAGAAGGTCAATCCATAGGAAACCGACTTGGTACGGACAATTAACAAGTTTCTACAGCTGGGTACCAATCAGTCGGAAAAGAAACCTGATTAAATCCCTTGCCACTCGCGTCAGACGCATCTGCAGCTCCGACACCATGGAAGAAGAACTAAACTTCCTGAGGGAAATCTTCATACAAAATGGCTACCCACCAAGATTCGTAGAGAAAAACATCAAACAGAAAAACCAAAAGCAAGAGACACCATCCGTGCCAAAAAAGATACTTTATATGAACCTAGACTTCAAAGGAGACCTACTTAGTGACGTCCTCAGAAGGAGAATTTCCACCTCTTTAGGAAGAACTTTCCCTGCAGCAACACTACGAATAGTGTTCTCCAGTCGCCCGCTGATCTGCAGAAACCCAAAGGACAAGATTCCGCACATAACCACTTCTATGTGTATATATCAGTTCACCTGTTGCTGTGGAGCCAGGTACATCGGTCGTTCAACGCGCATCCTGTCAAAAAGGGTCAAAGAACACTATCCAGCGTGGCTACAGAAAGGAAATAATGGCCATATAAGGAGTGCAATAATCGAACATCTCGTCAACACTGGTCATTCCATCTCAACGAACGCCTCCTTCAAAGTAATCTACAAAGTGAAGAACAACCTTCCAAAGACAGTACGATTCCGTCTTCTTTGTATCGCAGAAGCCCTAGCCATCCAGTTGGTGGAACCAGAACTATGCATACAAAAGAAAATTATCCAACCACTTCTACTCGCATGGTAACAACTCCGTTGATTTGACCTAACTTTTCTTTGTTTGTTTGATTTGACCTTACTTCTGTTTGTATGCTTATTTTTCTAACTTAAAACCTTTGTGTAATTCTGTATATTATTTTGTTTCCATGTACACCCTTTGAGCACAACTCATTCATCAAACTATCCATGCCATTACGTAACTCTTATTAAACAATCGTTTTTGACAACTCATCACTTTTGTTACTATCCTCTTATATGAACATCCAATTCATCTGAACTTACTAATTGTATTTTCGTTTGACAAATTTAAAAACTTTGTCCAATCATGAGTCATGAAACAGGTATCAAGATGTATAGTAAAAAAATTGTATGATCTGTGAACAAAATTTGACCTCGGACTTGCAGTTATTGGTCTACCTTTGTTAAACATTTGAAACAGAGTATGTTTGTGTGGTGGTAAACAGTTGTAAAACAATTTCTTAACGTCACCATAAGTAGATATAAACAGTCGGGAACTTTGACCTAATATTATTAGTCAGCGATACGTATCCATTCTTATTTATTAATCAAGATTTCCTATGCATCTGCTAACAAGATCACACCTTCATGTCTGTTCAAACTGTTAGTATCTAGAATTTTATGATTAGACGTATTCTCAAAATTATGGTGTTTAGGATTAGAGTTTAGTTGGAGCACCCTGTCGAACTTATTGCTTTGTCCTCTATTTGAAGATTGAACTGATTTATTCGACCTACTGGAGTTGTCAGGTGACTGGACAGCTACGGATTTAGGATACGCATTGTGTTGCCGACAACGGAGAGTGGAAACACGATGATTGTGCCAACTACATAGTTTCTTTGTTAACTTAATTCGATTGCAAAATAATTCATCAAATGAACTGCAGCTGAGAGTTGACAGAATAGTTCTAAAATATTAAGGCGGCAATTAAGCAAGACATGTTCCTTTAATAGATAAAACTCTGTCATGTTAATTTAGATTTATTTCTCTGAAAATGTTCGGACCAGTTTGCCGAACACAGGAAACGTTGGAATTACTCATTTCAATACCGCTGAGATTTTACAAATATAATTTTTTATAAATAAAATGAAATGTATGGCAACTACTCATTTATGTAAAATAAAAGTATATACCAATGACCAATAATGTTTAAATAGGTCAAGTAGTCATCCATGGTAGGCGAAGGTTAAAGTCTACTGTTTTTTGTGCACATACTTTAGGATGTATATGACTAATCCAAAGTGCTCCCATTACCTTTAATAACCAACCTTGAATTAGAGTTATGTGGTGAAATAATTGTGAAACAGTCGTAAGTATTGATTTTGTAAAGTGAAATTAATAACTACTTTGCAATAGATGATGGTGATGAATTTCCATTCAGATTAATTGCACTGGGATTTTCTATGTATTTTAATAACCATTTTGGAACATGTTCTTTTCGACGATCACATTGGAACATTCTATTGGTTCTTCATTATAATAAAGGCTGTTTTTGTATTTCCCAATGAATGAAAACAAAACGATATTTTTTTTACGGACACTTCGCTATTTAATGCTGCTGCTAATAGCTTTATCAAAATGGTATTATTAGACCGGAATTTACAAAATCTCAGCATATTTATAACAAAGAGTTGAGGGGTGAGAAAATAGACTTAGGTCAAGTTAAAAAGACATATTGAAAGTCAAAGTAACAATGAAGATCACTAAACCAAATATCAAAGGTAATAGTACATCTGTTATGATATCAAAACAAAGTTTACTAACTTGATCATCGTTCGCCTGTCTGGGATCATTTTTGTTTGTCAAGTTGGTCAGTTGGTAAAGATAACAAAACTAAGTGTAGATTCTTGGATTTGATCAGTGTGTAAAATCATAAAATTAGTGTGTGTTTAATTAGTGAACTTGCTTATCACACCACCCTCCCCCATGAAGTGACAAAATCAACACGAATGTGATAAGCGAGTTCACCAAATAAACACACTGCTTTTATAATTTTACACACTGATCAAATCCAAGAATCTACACTTAGTTTTGTTATCTTTACCAACTGACCAACTTGACAAACAAAAATGATCCCAGACAGGCGAACGATGATCAAGTTAGTAAACTCTGTTTTGATATCATAACAGATGTACTATTACCTTTGATATTTGGTTTAGTGATCTTCATTGATACTTTGACTTTCAATATGTCTTTTTAACTTGACCTAAGTCTATTTTCTCACCCCTCAACTCTTTGTTATAAATATGCTGAGATTTTGTAAATTCCGGTTTAATAATACCACTTTGATAAAGCTATTAGCAGCAGCATTGAATAGCGAAACGTCAGTAAATCCAATATCGTTTTGTTCTTCACTCATTGAGAAATACAAAAAAAGCCGCTTTATTATAATGAATATCATATACCCAATGCCTAAATTTTTTCAAACCGTTAGAAGTGAACTTGGTTGGGACATATTGTACTGGTTCTACCTATATAAATAACACCGTAACTACAGGTGAACTTGTAAATACAGTTTACAGTCCGTAGAATTTCATCCTTTAATCGTAGGTACAGAGATCGAAAATATCCGGCATGTTAGGGGAACAAAATTTATTGCTGTTCATAATCACATCAATTATAATCACACGACTTCGAAACTTGAATTTAGAGTGATGATGAACACTAAGTTGTCTTCTAAACGTCATCCAGTAAATAATAACACTGTTTCACTGTGTGATATATCTAATAAACAAACTAATATGGAACTAAATACTGCCATAGTGTCAAAGTTTCACACATATTTTCGTCGTCTACCGTTTCAATAGCACTTCAAGCTTCGAAGTCTCAGTAGCAACTGTTTATTGCCTACGGCGTGGGTTTGCTAGCCTCAACATCCAACTTTGCCTCTTTACAAGATTCACTAACAGCGCAGCAAGATTTAGGGGTATATTGTTCGAGGATCGGACTCCCATCCACGTGAATGGCTTGGCGAGAATGCCAAGACTCAACCACCACCAGTTTGTTCACAGTAGAGAATGCATAAAGCGTCAATAGTACATTTTCATTCTACTCGGATGGTTTATGTCATCATTTTCAGCTGGCTGCAACTCTCCACTGCTTACAAGCTATCACATTTCCTCATGCTCTTTTTTCATGTCATTCTTGGACACACGCACAACACAATTCGGGTCCTAACATACTCGATGACCCTTCATGTGTGTGTGTTGGATGCTACTTGAAGCTCCTCTCAACAGGAAGTGATGGCTTCTATATATATATATATGGTTGGACAGGTGTATTCACTATCTATGTTTTCCGTAGATTCACTCGCTGTTGTGACCTTGTTGCCTCGTTCAGAAACTGGTTGATTTTTGTCTGTCGATCATCAAGTTTGGCAACAGTCCTCCGTGAAGTTCAGATCTTATTGTCCGTCAAGAGTATATCCATCTTCTTCTTGCTCCCCATAGTAGTAGTCTGACCCACACAGTTCACTATAATCAGAAATATATTATCGGTGAAAGTAGACAGACAATCCTTTCTTCACTTTAAAGGCTTCATCACTGACTGAGCTTATATGCGGCGCATCAAGACACCGAGAGTACTTGAACAACTTCGAATTTTAACTTCATTCAGTGTGAAATCAATTTCAAAGACTTTAAATAAATAACGTATATATTTTGGTTAAAAAAATCTTATTTTATGTAGGTAACTTTACAGTTTATTATATATATATATATATATATATATATATATATATATATATATATATATATATATATTCTCTTCGACTATAATATATGTCGTGTGTTAAAATATTGCCAATATCTGTATGTTTGGTTAAATAATGACAAAAGGAAGATTCAATCAAACAGTTGGTCTGTACGCACGAGTCATCTTCTCTATGTACACACACACACACACATACCTCATACATACATAAATACACAAACAGCAGTAATGGTAGTGATCCAAAAGAAACAGAATATAATCAGGTGAATATTTATAAGAAATATTTTAAAAAAAAATCAACTCGCACACGGTCAGTACTACTGACAAGAAATATGTATATGAGTAGTATACATATGCGTATATACAATATAATATAAATGCATGTATATCGAGATATGGGAGTGGAAGGGAAGCAAAAAAGAAAATAGTATATCTCATGATGGTGACTAGTTTCTTAGAAGGAGCAAAATGGGGGAGAAATCACTGCCAAGGTTTTGGTGGATGACTGAAAATATTCATAGGTTTAGGATAGAATGGCTGTGTTGTTGTTGTTGCTGTTGGCCATAAGTTTAGAGTTTGTTGCTGGTATGGTTGGCTTTGTACAGGTAAAGGCAGGAGTCCAGGTGTCATATTCATGACAGGGGGATAGCAAATAGAAGAAGAAGCAGAACCAATATATGGCATAAACGCTATATCTGGATAACCTAACAATGTTGTTGGTTCTTTAGTCTGGTTAACAAAATACTGTGTTGAGATTTGTGAAGTAGAATAATCTGTAGAGATATGACGATATGATGTATCATCTGTTGACCCTAGTAAACTATGCTCATCTCCACCATCATGGAGTACAGGTGTTGATGGTGGACTTGATGAGGCATACAATGTGGTATGACAAGTCTTCGAGATACACGTGGACGAGGAGGAGGATATAGATTCTTTTGGTTTATACAATGTATATTTCAATTTAGCTTCTGATCCACTAGACACTGAAGATTCTGAATAAGTTCCAAGCAATGAAGGTCTATGATGATGTTCACTTGACGAATAATGCATTGAATGTCCTCCTCTATAGTCAACATCTTCTTTATAACCTTCACCAGTAAGTCTATCATCATGATCTGAAAAAGAATTATCACTAGTATTTCTTCCTAGCTGCCAACGTGTAATTGGATAGAAATGACCATAATGATGCGTTGTTGCAGTAGGAGTAATAGCAGTAGTTGTATCATGCTCATCTTGTCGCATATCTTCATCCTCTAAAGACATATCAATATCTACAATAGAAGGATTTGATTTTTCATTAGAACTATACGTTTCATCGACTACATGATAATCGTCTTCGGTATGAGTGGTAGTCATCGTACTGGCAGTGTTGACATTTTCATGAATAGAAGAAGAAATCTCCGTCTCAGAATTACACCGTTTAGCCACATGTTTTAAAATATGACCAACCTGTAAATGCCTGAAGGAACGTCGATCAATCTTTACCTCTTCTTCATCATCATTATCAGCGCCATCTTTTTTATAATTTTTATTATTATTATCATCCTTCTCGTCAGTTTGACTTTGTGATTTATTCATACCACGAGGAAATTGGTGTTTATCACGTCGTTGCGGCTGCTGCTGTTGTTGATTATGATGGTGATGATATGATCCACGATCATCGAGATCTGCGCTTAGAGATGATAATGATGATGCCATTGATGATGACGTTGTCTTCTTCTTCATCATGTCTACAGTATCATTATAATGAATACTTGAATCACTACTCAAAGTACTATATGTGATATTATGCATATTTTGAACAATTTCTTCATTAGTATCATCACACTCCTCTCCATCATCATCGAATACTTCACCTTCTTCACTTTCATCAACTACTCCTGGATTATTTGACTGTGCAACAGAAATGATTGGCGGCGATGGGGATCGTGATGGTGGTGGTGGCGATGATGAGGATGTTGGTGGTGGTAATGGAGGTAGAGGGTCTACAGTAGTCGTGGTGCTAACAACAACAACAACAGCTTTGTTATCATCATCATCATTATTCTTAACATCCATTTCATCTGTAGATGGAGCAATCTGGCTAGATTGATGAACACAGTCAAGATTAACACCAACAGCAGGAGAAAAACCAGTTGAACTCTCATCTTTTGAGATATCTGTGCTGTTAATTATCAGGGGAATATCATCATCATTATTATTATCGATAGAATTACTAGTCTTATTGTCATTATTATTATTATCATCATCGCCATGTAATTTATCGTCTCTATTATAACTTTGGCTATGAGAAATAGCACTGTTTTGTTGTGTAGAGTACTCCAATTTTATTGCATCAGAATTATTAGTCTTTTCCCCAGTTAATTCATTTCTAAGCGTAGTAGCACCCGAAGAAGGAGTTGACAGTTGAGTTGAGTCTGATTGTGAGTTGATATTCAGAGACTCATTATCACGTTGTTGCCGCTGTTGTTTTTGTTGTTGACGTTTTACATTTGAGTTAGAATGATGGTGATAGGATTTCCGACCTCGAACAGGTGCATTATTACTATTATTTTTATTATTATTATTATTAGGCGAATTAGAAGATGATTCACGGGAATGTGAACGATCTCGATAACGATGTTGTTGATAACTGTCTGAATCTGAACATGATGGACTACTACTCCGACGATCATGACGACGACGATCACGTGAATGTTTGTATGAAGAAGGTCGCCGTCTATAGTCGCCATCAGTCTCATCATTATCATTATATGGTCGACGATGTGTGCCTCGCTTATCTTTATTTCTAGATCTTTTTGACACAGTCTGACGACTACCATGCGATGATCGATATCTATCACTGCTAGATTTATATCTTTCATCAGAATCATATCTTGAATCTGAAGGAGATCTCCAGTATCTATCATAATCATAATCACTATCATCATAACGATAAGATGAAGGTTTTAATTTAGTTTTTTGATAACTAGGACTACGAGATCGTCGATAATCATGACGACGATGATAATCACTACGACGAGAATGTTTAGATATAAGTCTACTCTCTGATGGAGATGACAAAACTGATGAATACGCTTTAGGAATATTCTTACTAGTTGTAGATCGATGATGTATTGACGACGACGTTGTTGTCTTACGCAGATTATCACTAGACAACAGACTAGATCGTCGTCTTGGTTTCTTAGGTGATAATAATGGTGATAATGTTGATGCTAGAGCAAATACCTTTGATGGATAATTCCAAATACTAGGTATTGGCTGTGGTATTAGTGCAGGTTGACGAGGTCGTGATATTATCATGTCATTATCGCCAAGACCACCACCACCAAAACCACGGCAGCCGCCGCTGCCACTACTATCAGCACGATGTTGATCATTAGCAAGTGGATTATCAATTTCCATATCACTTTTTTCCAATACATGGATAGACTGTTCACCTTGATCATTATTATTATTATCGTCATCATTATTAATAAAACTATCAAGCTCCATATCAACAGATGTATTTTGAACAATTGGAGAAGTATCTTGTACAAGGCTTGGACTAGACGCAGTAAGTGGTTTTGAAGTAACACTAGTCGTCGTCATCGCCACCGTAGTATTATTGTCATACAACTGAATATCTAGTGGAATTTCTTTGGGGGTATTTTGTGAATCTACTATTACTACTAATCGAGTTGATGCGTTATCACGAATACCACCCTTAGATTCTTCCACTACTACTGGACTAGACGGAACAGTAGCAGTAATTAACTCTTTCGCCTTGGGAATCTCCTCTTCAATCGTATTTTCATTTGGAGGGTACTTTTCAACACAATGAATTTGCTTATCTGTACATTTCAGTTGTTCACAATATGGTGTTGAATCCTGTGTCTGTGAAGTTGTCGTTGTTGTTGGTGTATTTGTCGTCGTCGTCACTGTTGTCTGCTTCTTTTCCTGAGATTTTGATGACAATAATGCAGTAGCCAATGCATACAAATCTGGTTCCTCTGTGTACATTTGGTGACGACGACGTAGTCGAGGATCTAAAAGAGCATTTGGATATTGTTGTAGTCTAGGATCATGGATATTTGATGAGGTTGATGTTGTCGTCGTCATCACTGGATGTGTAGACTCTACACCAATAGGCGGACCAGGATTGTCAATCACACCTTGATTACACGATAGCATAGAGATGAGTACACTACCGAGAAGATTTCTTCCACTGACTGGTAGTGTTGTAAGAATATGATTCAATGGAAGTTTCAGTTGCATTGAGGACATATTGTGACATTCTGAAAAAGGTAAAATGGAAAAGGGAGAATTGTATGTTTTTTTTTCTGTTTGGTGAATGAGACTAATTAAAATTCAAAAGAAAGAATATTTTTTCAACGATCAGACGACAGTGCTGATTAACACTCATCAGGTAACAACAACAACAACAACAAGTAATACCTAGGCCAGCAAAAGTGTCTCCCTCCTAAAACACGGAGGGCATCATCTCAAGTTCAACAGGTCGTTTGTTTAAACTTATTCACTATCTATGACCAACACATACAATGTGAGGCAGGGGAGGGTGGTGGCTTGGTGATACTAGACAGTAGCTCACAGAGGGATGAAATAGACGGAGTACATGATTCGAACCCGGGATACATTTTAGCTGTAAGTCGAGTGTGCTTAAACTAAACAGCAACTTCCCGACCAAATAGATCAGAAAACACAGGTAGGCTATGAGACCTACCTTAACTTGAGAAGTTAAGTTATTAATGTGAAACTTAATTCTTTTATCACACACACATTTTCAAAGATGATGAGTATACAAGACCATGATTAAGATCTGTTAACGTCATTATATCAAGATATAAGTGTCGAAAACAAGTAATGTAGCCATTTTCTAATCGTCAACAAACATATTTATAAAGAAGAGAACACGAAGTTCAGCAAAGATGGCGATCTTTTCGGCGATTTCATTCTCAAAAGCACCTGTACAATCGGATTTAAATACATAATTTTACATGGATGGATACAATTCTTGTTTGATTCCACATAATCACGACGGCGAACTAAAGGTGATAATTATTTTCAACTAGAGGTATTGCTTTTTACAGGAGGCTTAAAAAAAGAAATAAAATTACACCGGATTAGAACGGATAACCAGGGTGTGTAAAAATGAGCATGGAAACAAAATTGAAATAATAATTTTCAACTTGAGATGGAAGTTAGGAGGTGCGAATATAGATTACAAGAGCCTGTAATTCACTATAATCCCGTGTAGTTTTGTTTCTAAGCTCTTGTAATCTATATTCGCACCTCCTAACTTCCATCTCAAGTTGAAAATTATTATTTCAATTTTGTTTCCACGCTCACTTTTACACACCCTGGTTATCCGTTCTAATCCTGTGTTTCTAAGCCTTTCCTCGTAAACCATATCTAGTTGAAAATAATTATCACCTTTTATTCACCATCGTAATTATATGGAATCAAACAAGAATTGTATCCATCCATGTAAAATTATGTATTTAAATCCGATTGTACAGGTGCTTTTGAGAATGAAATCGCCGAAAAGATCACTATCTTTGGTGAACTTCGTGTTCTCTTCTTTCTAATGTCTATATAGGTGTTTTCCACGATCTGAAAAGCATATTTATGATGATAACAAATCATGTTGACTAGTGACTGACTAAAAAAATGTAGTAGCCTGGAGTTTTAGTGAGAAGTCCTGACTAGTGACAGTCCACTAATTCAAATATGATGACAAATACTCGTGCCAATAAAACTGGTTAGCTATAGCCTAATCTGTATGCATAGAAGTCTGCACCTTCCAATGTAGCTAAAAAACGATAGTCAGAAACAGTATAGATGGAAGGCAGGTTTTAATTTGAACAAGCCCAATTCTCATCCAACGTAACCCTATGTCAGCTAACATTTCCCGACGAAGAAGGGGATGATGATCTGCTGAAATGCATAAAACGTGCACAATCATCATCTCAGTCAATGCAGCTTCACGACCTTCTCACAATTGACTTACCTAACGCTCTACGTCTAATCTCAGTATCCACTGTCCACATAACTGTACCACTTTAAGTCTGGCGTTTACCACCATACTGATGGACAGCCGGGCTTACCTACATGTGAGATAGAAAATCCTAACTTCAAACCTCTGGCTTACATGAGAACCACAGTTCAAACGCGTCGAATGGCATAGGAACGCAGATTCTGACGCTGCCCCCCCCCATTGCTTTATGGATGAGACTTCAAGTCACAGGCTAGAAAGTAGTGCCCCTTAAGACAACCTACATCCATAAGGTTTCGATATCCAAGCACATAAGGTAGAATAGACACACACTAGTGGTCAAACAATAACACTAACCTCTTAAGTATCTAAAAAAACTTCAAAGTTGAAATCTTATGACAGACAAGTCTTAGATACACATTCAACACACACACACACACATATACACACAAAGATGCATACAATAAGCAACAAAAACAACAGAAAGGCGGGGGAGAGGATGGGTGAATATTTACGTGGTTTACGTTGACCAAAAAGTTCATCCGAAGCTGTTCCCATCGGTGCATCAGCTTTAGCAAATACAATTGAACTGAAATCACTAGTAGACGATTGACAACACATTTCACTATATGGATAACGTCGTAGATTATGCGGAGTAAGTAATATTGCATGTAAGATATTTGTATCCAGAGTGTCAGCTGGAGGTATGCCTAAAAAATGAAAAACGAAAAATCAGTAAGTAAATTTGAGTAATCATCACATAAAAAGAAAGAATAAACCAAATACTTCTGCTTTTTCCAAAACGGACTATAGGCTTCACAAGAGCACATCTCCACTTTCTCTAGTTCCCAGCGTTCCACTTTAGCGGACCCTGCACGACTGACTATAGTCTCTCATCTCCTCCATATCACCCTCGAAATGACGACCAACTCGTCGTTCCTCATTCGGGTTACACTTCGGAGTTAGCTTGGCGTATGATGTCATCCGACGGCCTCCTCAGTGTATATCCGATCATTCATTTCTATTTTTCTAGGATATTTATTGAGCAATAGGTTCCTGATAGGCTTGTTCCCATGGTTTCTTGTTGCTGATCTTTTCTGGTCATTTGACCTGGCTAATGCTTACCCTCCCTTTTATACAGTTTAAGCGATCAGGTTCGGCTTGGCAGTTACGGGTTTGCTGATCCACATGTACCCGGCTTCAGTGATTGACTGCATGTGCGCACTGGTCTGGTAGACATGCGCCCGGATGGCATACAGCCTCGAATCTTTAGTTCTATGCGCATATGGGAAACCGTAACCTTTCCTTGTTTACTATCTTGTTAGTTTTCTAGTCTAGTCTAGTCTGGGAATAGAGGGAGGTTTGGTGTAGGACTAGCGACTAAAATCAATCTAATTGCTACTGAAACTTCAGAGCAAATGACATATATATATATATATATATATATATATATATAACAAAAGCCGGGAGAATTGAAGAATTGCACTAAACACCTGTAACAACTAATTCTAACAACGAAGTAAGGTATCTGTGTGTGTGTATTGGTAGTTCTTGGAGGATATATCAATGATTTTGGATACAACTAGCCTACTTTGTGTTATGATATAAAATATTTAATTTTCTGGTTGTTTGTAATATGAATATATCTGGTTCACAAGATAATAATAATTGCGCTTCGTTTATTCCCCCCACCCCCTTAAATACCTGTTCGTGTGGAGCTAGGTATATATCGGTCGTTCCACTTGGATTTTGTGTGAGAGGGCGCAAGAACACTGTTATCCTGCATGATTACAAAGAGATGGAAGTGGAGCTGTAGGAAGTGTAATAGTTGAACATCTGATCGGCAATGATTGCCCTACCTCTACAGCCTCCGCCTTTAAAGTCATCTGTCTACAAGGCAAAGAGTAATTTACCCAAATCACTACGTATCCCACTCACCTGTATTCCTGAAGCCATCTTTGGCCATCAAACTGGAAAAGCCAGATCTGTGAATACAGACAAGATTCGTTCAGGCCCTACAACTCTCATGGTCTTAATCCCTCTATGCTAAAGTATGGTAATCCCTGATCATACTTTAGCTCTACCAACTTCTTCGTTTTGTTTATTCAATTTACATACTCCTCCTTTATTAGGTCAATTGTCACTATTATGTTACTATTCTCACTTCAAACTGTCCCCGGTATTATTTCATCACTCGTTCCACTTGTCACTCTAGATGAATTCTGTTTTGTTTTTGCGACGTTAATTTCTATGTTATCGAATTTCACACGTTATTACGTCACGTTTTTATTTTATTCGATTTGCCTACTAGTCCTAAAATTGCACACCCTTTTTCATGTTCTATACATCCTATGAATTGTTCTATATATGACATTAATTGTTTTGCCACTTGACATTCAATGATGATTATAATCACAAATATTTTAATTTTAATTGCATTTCATTCTACAACTATTATTATTATTATTTTATGTATTCACTCACACCAATGATTGAATTTCCTCACCGGATATAACATCTTAGATACCATACACACATATATACGATTGTACAGCTTGATAATAAATTCATTGTTGGAGGAGTCTCTTCACTGAATCACTTGTTTTGATTTTCTCCCTGTTACAATGGGAATTTCCCACGAGTTAAAATTAACAAAGTCAAAAGATGGTTACTATGGGAGGAAATAATCCTTTTAAAATCTTAATATATATTATGTAGTCGGCCATTGCAAAGAATGGTGCTGCACAAATTTCTTTTGAACACACAGATTCCGCTTGTTCAGATGAATTCCGATCGCCTCTGCTGTATGTTAAAGTCGTACTAGTAGACCATGCGAGAGGTCGGGTATCATTATTATTGTTCCCTTGGGTTCCTATTGGAACATAAGGTTTCAACTGCACGTCTCCACTTGCTTCTGTCTTCTGCTGTAATTTTCACCTGCATCCATCTTAGTCCATACTGTTTCAACTCCTCTTCACAAGATCTCCTGCATGTCACCCTTGAACGACCCACTCGCCTCTTCCTTTTTGGGTTCCGCTCAAGTGCCTGGACGCGCGATGTCACCAACCGGCCTCCTCAGCGAGTGTCCAATCCATCCATCTCCACTTTCTCCTGCATATTTGTTGGCTGGCGATTGGTTCTTGTTTTGTTTGTTTGTTTGTTCCAGCCATAGTTCCTTGTTGGTAATTCTTTCCGGCCCAGCCATCTGATCTTCACTATAGAGCCAGCGAAGACAGTTGTTGGTTGGCAAAGGTCTGCAACAGGCTGTTGGAGATATTCTTTGTGACCCGCCCGCCCGCCAAGTTTCTGATCCGTGTAGAAGAACTGACTGACTGACTGACTGACTTGACGTTTGTTTGTATTGAAAATCCTACCGAATTTTGTTGTTGATTCTGAGTTGAGTGACGAAGATTTCCAGATTGGTTTCAGGTTGATGAGTGAATGTGTTTCTCACCTGCCTTCTCGATTCTCGCTCGATTTGACATCCTCGTCCGTTCCGACTGCGTGTAGTTGAGACAATGCTCCCTAGATAAGTGAGTGAATGAAGTAACCTCTTTCAAATCCCTCCCGTTGATGGTGATTGGCGTTGGATTTTTCCGCTGCTGCTGTTGTTTTTGTTGGCTGGTTATTTTCATTACCTCCGTCTTGTCTATGTTCACCTGGAGTCCTGTCTTCACCGGCTGCTTCTTCGACCAGTTTGTCAGTCGGTTTTCGCTTGTAAGTCTTCGATTTTGTGACAGTGACATCAAACATTTTATTTTTTTTATTTTTGGTTACAGCTTGATTCCACACTGTATTTTTGGTACAAGTATGAAATTTTCAGCGTTGATATCGGTAGCCCAAAATTCGCAGGCCGACCATAGATATCAGGTGTGCGTCGGCGTGGGCTCGAACCCCGGACCATGTGCATGGTCGGCGAGAGTCCTAACCACAGTCTCACCGACGCATAAATCATCCACGCGCGAAATCCAATTCAGGTCTTCTAGGTTCTTCACGTCGGTCGGTCCAGGATATTCCTGTCTGCTGTTCGTTTCCCACTGTCTGACGCATAATCCAGTCAGTTCACCACAATTAGGAATATCATTGGTGATAATAGGCGAGCACCTTTGTCTGACTCCTGTGTTTACTCGAAATGCCTCGCTGAGTTTTCCGTTTTGGATCACTTGACATGTCCCGTTGTCGTACAGTTGTTGAATAAGGTTGGTGAATGTTTGGGGTGCGCCATAGTACTCGAGTAGTTTCCGAATTAATTCACGATCAACTCTGTCAAAGGCCTTCTCAAAGTCTATAAAGTTGAGGTAGAGGTTTGATCGCCATTCCATGCTTTTTTCTGTGATGATGATGCGTAGAGTTGCAATTTGGTCAGTACATGATTTGCCTTTCCTGAATCCAGCTTGTTCTGGTTGGAGTTCTGTCTCCAGTGCGTCCTTTAATCTCTCCAAGATGATGCGAATCAGGATTTTACTTGGCGTCGACAGGAGCATGATTCCTCTCCAGTTCTTGCAGAGTGAGGCGTAAGTCGCCCTTCTTTGGTAGTTTCACGAGGTAACCTATCCTCCAGTCAGTAGGCATCTTTCCCTCCTTCCAGACCTTTTGCAATAATGGAGTCAGCATGTCTGCTGTAGTCTCTGGGCCCGCTTTTAGTGCTTCAGGGTGTATTCCATCTGGTCCAGCTGCTTTTACAGCTTTCAGAAGCTTGATTGCGTTCAAGACTTCAGCTCTCGTTGGAGGATTGGTGTCAACTTGTAGTTGTGTACGTGCTGTTGTTGGTATTTCTGGACGGGTTGCAGGTGGTGTTCGGTTCAAGAGTCCTTTGAAGTGCTCCGCCCATTGTTTAATCTGTTTTTCTTCCATGGTAATTGGGTTCCCTTGGCTGTCTTTTATAGGTTTTGCTTGTGTTGATCTCTTCCCGGATAGAGATTCGGTCATCTGATATAGTGTCCTCAGGTCCCTTTTGCCTGCTGCCTTCTCAGCTCCAGTGGTGAGGTTGTCGTAGAATCGTCTTCTGTCCTTCCTAGCACTCTTCTTCACTTCTTTGTCCAGTGCTTTGTAAGTTGAGCTCAGCGTCTCCCTCTCTTGCCCGTCTTTGCATTGAATCATTTTCTCTTTCACCATTCTCCTCTCTTCTAATAATTTCCAAGTGTCCGTTGAGAGCCATCCGTTGTCTTGCCTTTTCTTTCTTCCTGAAACCGTTGAACACGTTTCGTTGAAAATCACCTTCAGACAGTTCCAGTGGTCTTCCACGCATGATTCTTCAGTAATGTCATGTGGTGTTTCCTGCTTTGTTCTGACAATTGCAGTGAAAGTGTCCTTTGTAGTTGTGTCCTTCAGTTTCTGAGTGTTGGACTTGCATTGTGGCCTATCCCCAGCTATCCTCGAGGCTTTTAGTTTCAACTTGAAAGTCCCTTGTACTAGCTAGTGGTCTTAACCCACATCTGCTCCTCTCCTCGACCTTGGGTCTAGTAGGCTCCGTCTCCACTTTCTTGAGATTGAAATGAAGTCTATCTGGTTTTCGGTGTGTCCATCTGGTGAAATCCATATCGTTTTGTGTATATCCTTGTGTTTCAACACACTGCCACCAATCACCAAATCATTGAAGGCGCAGAAGTCTGAGAAGAGTTCACCATTGTCGTTCATTTCATCGAGGGCCTCACGACCCCTGGTGAGTTCTCTTTCTGTGTTGTCTCCTCCCGTCTTCGCATTCATGTCGCCCATCAGGATTTTGATATCGCCACTTAGGACGTTGTCCATTACTGTTTGTAGTTGTCTGTAGAACGCCTCCTTCTTCTCTTGTTCTGAGACGTTTGTAGGCGCAAAGCATTGAATGATTGTAAGCTTCCTTCCTTTTGAGTTGCATCTGGCTGTAATTATCCTGGAGGAGATTGGTTCCCATTGCATGAGAGCTTCGGCCGCTGTTGGTGACATCATGATGGCCACTCCCTCGGTGTGCTCATGGTTGTCCTCTGGATGGCCGGAATAGATTACTGTCTCTCCAGTAGGTAGTTTGCACCTTCCAGTTCCATTCCATCTGCTTTCGCAGATTCCCAACACTTCTATTCTGTACTTTCTCATTTCAGCGGCTATCTGGGCAGCTTATCCAGTTTCGTACATTGTACAAACATTCCAGGTACCCATCCTTACTTTTGCTTTCATCGAAAGAAGGCACATCAGCTGACTGGCTTCCCGAAGTCTTTCACCAGCCTGCGTCATTTCACTTCCCCAATTCCAGCCAAAAATAAGGTTATTGTTTATATTTTTAGAATTTTTAATAAATTTGCGTGTTGAAGTTTCTGTAGCGACTTGGTTAAGTTTTGGGGGTGGAGCTGCTAGCACCACGCCCCAACCCTCTCTCCTAATCCGGGCTTGGGACCGTCTAGAAAACTAGCGAGCTAGTAATCTAGACGAGGTTTAGAGGTTGGGTGATATACGATAAATAACTTTAGAAGCTTTTTTAGAGTCGATTTGATGTCCATTATCGACGAGATGAGCTAGTATTGGCCTACACACATGGAAGAGGCGAAACAAGGCAGTCTGTCTTTCTTTCTTGAACTAAGTATTGGTCCGTTAGTAAATACACTGCATAGATAAGCTGCATAAAAAGTCCTTTTGAAGGCTGTTGTTAGACGTTCTGATAAGACCTCACTATTGACATCACCCATGAACTGTAACATTAGGAAGATTGACTTTTTGGGGACAGTCAGCAACTTCAACTTTTTACTTTCAGAGTTCATGTGTTTGTTTACGAATTTAGTTGGATATCCGTTTCTCCTTAGTAGATCGCGAATATTACCGGGTTCTTCGTTCCGTGTCTCATTTGTACAGATAACTGTAGCCCAGTGAACCAGACATCTAACCAGATTACGTTTGTATTGTAGAGGTACAAAGCTCAGGAAATGAGTACATTGTCTAGTAGAAGTAGTTTTTCTATATAAACGTCTACAAATTGTTCCGTCTGTCCGTGTTTAGTCATTAGGACGTCCAAAAAGGGGATAGAGTAATTTTCTTTCCCCTCTTCTTCCTTAATGAAGCTTATGCTGGGATGTGCTCTAAGGAATTTATTCAATACGTTCTTAGCCTCACTTTCTTTCTTAACAACTATTAATGTGTCATCAACATTGTCGGCAATAGAAATCAGGATTATATATTACATCTTTAAGTGGACCATTCTCTTGTTTCGCCAGGAAAAAATCTGCTAGGAATAGCCCTGTTGGTGATCCCGTGGGAACACCATCTGATTGTCTATACATTGTTTTATTGAACAGGAAATTTATATTCATTGTATTTACATCAGTATTATTCATTTTGGTTCTGAGTGGAACATAGGGCTTCAGCAGCACATCTCCATTTTTTCCTGCCCTCTACATTACTCGTCAGCTGTTAACACAATTACCTGTAGTCCCTAATCTCCTCCTCACACGATCCGCTCCATGTCACCCTCAGACCAACGCCTGACTAGTTCTATTTAATAGTTGTTTTTTCAGTTACAACCAATAAAAATCAATTCAAAATGCACCATGATGCTGAGTCACCGCCCAATTTGGTTACCACACTGCTAACTTGAGTGAAAACACATGATACTGGTCACTCCAAACTGAGCCATAAGTGTATCGACTGCATGAGGTCGGTTAATTACGGTCCAACTAGCGAAGTGGTCATGTCTTTCAACGCAAATGCGAATCTTCTAGGGAGACACCAGTCCCTTTAAAATTGCAGATACGCTATGCTGATGAGTGTAAATGAGGACGCAATCTCGGTCAACACCTTCTAACTATATAACATATTCAAATATGTGAATAAGTGGACATTGTAACAACAGGCTTCAGAGCTTATCACTATTCTAATCATGTTCCCAAATGTCAAATTCTATAAGCTGTATAAGAATTTTGATTCAAATTTCACATTAGTCTAAACATTATTATTGCTTAAGTGTATCTAATGTAATTAAGCTGAACAACATGGGATTGATTCTTATTTAAATACCTTATGTTTGTTTATACTTACTAATTTCAAGGTCATACTAATTTTTCTTTCTTTACTTCGTATCTCATGATGAACTAACACTAGTGATCTTATAGATTTTATTGAATTCAAACAGCGGTTAATTTGATTCAATTTGAGAAAAAAAATGAAATTATCTTTTAATAAAATTATCATCCTTAAAAACTTATTCAATTGTTCAGTGTTTGTACTTTGTATCAGGGGCAAAAATAAAAAAATAAAATCACCTGTTTTATTCACCTGATCTAGGAGGCAGCATCGTTTCAGATAAAGACGGACACAACAAATAAGGAAGTCAAAGCCAGTGAAAATCTGAAATGCAGAACAGATTCTAGGTAGTCTCAGATCAAATCAATGTTGAAATCTGATGTACTAGGCGTGAAGAACTAGATTAGGGATATTCAACACTCAGGTTAAGTCAGTGCTCCCAGATGTTCCAGAGGCTTGGCGTGCGCGTCACGAAAGACATTCTCAATAGGCTATTGCAGACGTTTGCTAACATCTGTTTTCTCTGGCTCCATTACTAAAGATCAGATGGCTGACGGCGATGAATAAGCAAAAAGGGAGTCCAGTAGGTGACAACCAAGAACCTATAACCCAACGAATACGCCGAAGGAAATGGGAATTCATTGGACATACATACAGTGAGGGGATGCGCCAGACAAACCCGAAATGGGAAGCGAACGGTTGGAACTGGGTACAAGGGTGACATGGATGAGGAAATAAAAGGTTATGGCCAATCGTGGAGTTAGCTAAAAAGGATTGCATAAAACAGAGTGAACTACTGAATCGCTGTATTTCACTTAGAACCTAAAGAAAGACTATTAGTAATAACCTACACAAATCAATAGTGTAATAAGCCCATATGATGCGCGTAGTAACAAATATATTGTTTTCAGACTTGACTACCGATTGATATTAGTGAGGAAACAATTAAAAACCAGCTGGGAATACTAAATAGTTGTCTCGTCCTGACATGGGAGTCATCACGAGTACACACCCCCACGGAGGTTTGAACCCAGGACCTTCCGATTACAAGGCAAGGTCGTAAATCATTCAACTGCTGGGACCCTACACAGTGTCGTGTGTTTCCTAACTCTTGGTTTCTTCAAAGTTAGCTCCTCATTTTACATCTAATTTTTAAAAGAAAGTACAGACCGGTAGATACGTATCGGTGTATGTTATAAAGTCTACTTCAAACAGGTTTTCCCAAGCATCGGTTTACTGGGTATCGATTGATTTCATTTTGGATATTGCACCAGCATCAGTTAGTGAGCCATACTAGCTAAGCAACCAACTTTATTTGTCCATGTGTGATGACAAATATGAAAGTAAAGACACATGGAGTGGTCTTGACCTACTTTGAAAATCTCAATACCAGTTTACTCATTTCACTGGTACTCTAACTGATACCAATCTGTGGTCTAATGTTAAACAAACTGGAGATTGATAAAACAATGGTTAGTTTTGATATAACTAGTCTTTATACTAATATACCAGTTAATATGGCCTTAGAAGCAGTTAAAAAAGAATTAACTGCGGATCCGGAACTCAGTCATAGGACAAAGCTGTCCATTGAAGAAATTATTTTAGGGATTCAGTTATGCCTCACATCTACTATCTTTAAGTTCCAAGGCAAAATATATAGACAAACAGAAGGTGTAGCAATGGGATCACCAATATTCCCTATCGTAGCAGACATATTTATGGACAGCTGGGAAAATAGTGCCCTCAATACATTTAACCCTACTCCGAAAATATGGTGGAGATATGTGGATGACACTTTCACAGTGTTAAAAACAGAACACATCTCTAGCTTCTTGACACATATAAACTCACAAGTTGAGGGAATAAAATTCACATTTGAATCAGAAAATGAACAAGGAGAATTAGCTATGTTAGATTGTATGATAAAAAGAATAGAAGAAGGCAAACTACACACTAGTGTTTATAGAAAACCAACGCATTCTAATAGATATTTAGACTTTAATTCGTCTCATCCTTTAACTGTTAAGGCAGGCTTAGTTAAATGTTTAACAAACCGGGCAGTGGCACTAAGTAGCACAAAAAAAGATCTAAATGATGAATTGAAACAGACAGAAGAAGCGTTGGTGTTGAATAACTATCCTATAAAATTCATTAGGAAGATCATTAAAGGCCAAAAACAAAATAAAAATAATTGTGAAACTAGTAATAATAACATAAATAAGAAAGAATATAAGTTTTTTTTTTTTTTTTTTTTTTTTTTTTTTACATCTGAGACACTACGTAGGATTCTGAATAAAATAGCAATTAGGGTGTCATTTAAACCTACAAACTCACTCAGGGACAAGCTCTGTAGGTTAAAGGACCCAGTTGACCCAATTAGACAAAATAATATTATTTATAAAATACCATGCAATGACTGTGAGGTCAACTACATAGATCAAACTAGTAGGTCAGGGGTAGTCAGATTGTCAGAGCATGAGAATTTAGCTAAGGTAAGAATGGTTGACCCCGAGAAGATAAGTAATTTAGAAAAAAGCTCAGCAATTGCAATGCATGCGCTAACACACAACCACACAAAAGGGTGGGAGAGGGTTAAAATTCTAAAAAGTAATCTAGGTAGGTGGAGAGAGAGATTGATTACTGAATCCTTGTTCATCGAGTCTACACCCAAAACATGCAATAGAAATGACTCGTCACTCATACCTGAAGTATGGAAAATACTATTACCAATCAAATCAAGTGAAAATCAAGAGAAAAACAATGGAACTATATAAATGAATTTAGGAAGTCGTGTGAATACCTTGATATGATTATGAGCAATAAATTGTGCTCGAAACGTCATCAGTAAACATTACTGTATAACACTGTTAAACTTTATCAAAACAAAATTTACCAATAATGGAATTACACTTTACCACAGTGCACAAATTTCATTCTTATATCAATGTTTTCAATGCTTCTCTAACTGATATCCATCCGTGGTCTTACCTGAATTCACTCAGTGCATTATCTTTTAAAAATTTTGGAATCCATCCACCTCACCTTCACCCGTTTAAACATCCTGTTAATCGTCTTTATTCGTAACAAATGTGCACATTGAATGAGCAATTTATAGTGCCATTTAATGCCTTTATTACGCAATATAAATACGACTGACTACTACAGGCTTTTGAAAATGAACGAAAAAGTTATTTCTTCATAATTATGAATCTAAAACAAGCCACACAGGTTATTAATACAGTAGGATTTAATGAATTCATCAAATTTCGGTAGAACTCTTCAACTGAATACTCTACATCAAAAGTTTTGTTTCAATCCAGTGTGAAAAGAACTTAGTCAGAATACTGTTCAGTTGACCATGGAAGATTTGTTCTGACAGTACAAGTGAACAAGATACAGAAGCTCTGAAGGCTATTTCTTTATCTTAGAATGGATATCCAGATAAGTTCATTAATAGATACTCTCAAGAAATGAGCCCCATTTAAACTATCCGAATAGTTCCGAAGAAATCAGTCGATAATAATTTTCCATTCAGAGGAGAGGATGTACAATAGGTGGTTAAACGAAGACTCGATAAAGATATCAAGAAAACTTACTATGCTGCAGAACTTGTCTTCCTTAACAGCAGCAAGTGACTAGTTCAACAATCTGGGAAATACCAGTCACTGGTCCTCGACACTTCAAACTGTGTATATCACTTTGAGTGTGTTGTTTGTTAGAGCAAATACATAGGTCGTACAGAAAGGCAATTGTCTACTCGCATGATGGAGCATTTGCCAAAGTGGTTGTAAATAGCTGAATTCAAAGTGCCAAAAAGCTCAATAACAAAGCAATAACAAACTGGACTACTGACCTAATATCGACGCTGTCAAGTCATTCACTGTTGTCAGCAGACAAAGAAACAGGAAGATGCTTGCAGTTCCCGAGGCTTGTGAAATTCGAGTGTATAAACCAGGTCTCTGTGTACAGAAGGAGATGGTCGTCATTCTGAGTCTACCCTGGTAGTACGTTTCACTTATTAACTGTTATTATTATTATTAATATTATTAACACTTTATTCTATCTCTTTTTATTATTCCTGATTCATTTAAAATCATCTTTTATCAGTAGCATTATCTTAACTCGTCTCAGCATTATTACTGTAACTATTATCATTAATATTACTCAGTTCTCAATTCTTAATATATTTAAGTTCTTTATCTAATGACTAATTGCTTATCTAAGTTATGTAATTGAAGCGTAATGCATTTTATCTTAATTTTTAATCTCTCATACTCCCTTCACCTCGTCTATTTGGGCATGACTTGAAAAGCATGTACACGTGTCGTATTTTGCATGATTAATTCAATCTGGTTGATTTGCTTATCAATCTTATATCTCCCAATGTATTTCCAATAGTATATACACCCCTGAATGTAGGGTATTCAGAAGCTGAAGAGTTCTACCGAATTTTGATGAGTTCACTATATTCTGCTGTATTTGTGGTAATTTACGTCCCTAATATTGGTCGTGAGAAAAATGAAAAGAAAGGCTTTGCGTAGGCGGATACAGTTAACATATAGATGATCTGACATTCAGTAAACAGCCACAAAGAGATGCAAGGTTAAATTTCTGTGAGAAACAACCAATCAGAAGACTGTGTTTTTCTGCTAACAATAATCTATAATAATGTACATGAAAATCTATAAATACGTGTTGATTTCCTTAGTAGACGATTTGTTGCCTGACCCTGGTCTTCTGTTCTTACATATCAACCTCTTTGTCGCTTGATTTTTTCCTTCTCGTTCCCCAGTGGAACATTGGACTTCAGGCTAGTGGCTTGAAGTTTCTGTAGCAGTGTTTAATTTTACAGGATGAGGTTGCTAGCCTCATGCCCAACCTTTCCTCTTTACCAGCATTATTTCTGGCTTAGCGAGGTAAAGGATTGGGTCAGCCGGTTATCTAACCCCGGACCATGTGCATGGTCGGCGAGCGTCCTGACCGCTATGCCACCGATAAACTTACTTGTTGCTTTATCCAACCTATAGTTAGAAGCCCTATCCATGGGCCCAAAATTCTGCGACGTCAACTTAAACGCCAACAGACTCCATACGCAAGTACAATTCGAAAACCTAATGACCCAAACAAATGATTTAACCCCAACCTCCGAACAAGAATTGCAGCGTTTC